TAATATAAGTAGGCAAGTGGTCATTTACGGTCGCGTATATCTAACGTGATTAATAAAAGTATGAGATTGCTAAATGTAAAAATAAATTCACAATCGTTTTGTTGTTATACTTCTTTACACGGGAATGGAATTTCTGAACAAATGAAATCAGTTATTTTTTAATCATAAGGTGATTTATGGCATAAAAATATTCTTCATTAAATTCATAATTGTATTTGAATTATAATTTTATTTATATAAAGGCAAAATCCAAAAGGTTGTTTGAATTGAAGCATTCAGTGTCAATAATGTCCCTCGTAATTAGTATTTGCACAACTTATTTACATTCCGACCATGACGGCGGGAACTGTTGCCTGTTTTACTCTTATTTTTAATCTGTATTTAACATGGAAACCTACCTATGTAGATATCAATACTATTATAATAAAGCGTAAACACACACTTCTTTATCTAAATTCAAAATTTAAACTATTTGTTAAACGTTTGGAATGCCATCTTTTTGATAATAGCCCATGAATAGAATATTTTATTTATATACAATATATTATGCATGTATGTATTTTATGTAATTTTACACAAAAAAAAATGTCAAAACTATCCTACACTCCACTACGACACTCTACATATGTAATTTGTAAATCTAACCAGCGCACCCGCGGACAAACCAATTATATGGTTTTTGCGGGGCCATATTTATGCGTGTTTTTAATTTGTTTTTATGTAATATATTCAATAAATAATAATAAATAATTGTTGCCTAAGATATCAGCAATCACAGCATATTTTCGAATAACTCTTTTTTTTTAATAAAAATTCCTACACGTATATCACGCTTTAGGCTATATATTTTCAGGCCGTTAAACTTAGGGGTAAATATTTTGGATAAAAACCCTGATGTGGGAAAGTGACCATAAGTTGTTGCCAACATCAAGCAAGCAAGGTTGCCATGGTAAGGTAATTGGTGTTTTGACATTTGCAATTGAGAATTTGACAAATATAAACAATAAAATAAAGTTTTTATAATTCCATGCGGGTGATGCCGCACGGAAACAGCTAGTGTAGATATAAAATATATTCACAAACGTAACAAGTTATTATACTTATTGCCACGCATAGTCAATAATTGGCCACTAGAAAAGCTTCCTTACTTAAGTGTAACGCCAAACTTCTGTTTAACAATAACAAATGTTGTACAAATCTTTTTACTCACAAAGTGACGTAAGCATTTGTATTCAGAGCGCTGAATGCCTGGTAATAAGGCAACAGCTTCACATCGAAGTTACCCTAACACACTTGTAGTTAATAAAGGCACTTTGTTCAGCGAACGCCAGTCAGCAGATGTTCTCATAACGCGACTTCAAGTGAGCAATATTTTTTACTGCGACTGTATTTATTACCCGGCTGAGAGGAATGAAATGTCATATAATATGTAATTTCCTATTGCATTATATTCCTACAAGCTGTTGGCCGCGACTTCGTACGCGTGGTATTAGAAAACACACAAACTATATAAATTACAAAAAGCTACGTATCCCTCGGGAACCGGACATTTCTCGGAGATGAAGCTTATCCCATGTGTACTCCAGACTTTGTTTTATATCTGTGTCAAATTTCAATAAGATATGTTGAACCGTTGCAGAATGATCGAGTAAACATTAGAAAAATAAATTAATTAATTCCACGGGAACCGTAAATATTCCAGAGATAAAAAGTAGCCTATGTGTTCTTCCAGACTATGCTCTAAACCTGTGCCAAATTTCATGGAGATCCGTTCAACCGTTTAGGCTACAAACGCTAACAAACATCCATCCATCCATCTATCCACCCATCCATCCATCCATCCATCCATCCATCCATCCATCCATCCATCCATCCATCCATCCAACCATCCATCCATCCATCCATCCATCCATCCATCTAAACTTTCGCATTTATAATATTAGAAAGATTGTATTATACTAGCTTTCGACCGGGACACCGTCCGCGTGGAATAAAAAACAAAAGTAGCCTATATGTTCTTTTAGATTCTCTTCTACGTCTATGTCAAATTTCAGCGAGATCTGTTTAGCCGTTTAAGCTTCAAAATCTAACAAACATCCATCTAAATTTCGTATTTATAATATTTGTATGAAGTATGATTACTAATATACATTTGAAGTAAGGAAGAATGGATGTATGGATGGATTTTATTTTGTGGTTTGTAACGTAACCTTAGAACTACTGAAATTTCGTATACATATAAAGACTACAGTTTGGTAAAGCGCATATTCTACAGTATTTTTATATTTTATGCAGACGAAATCGGTTGATATATATTTCACTGCCACAATCATTTATTGCTCTACTTAAAGGAAGGTTTTCTTAAGTATGTTTTTGTATAAACTTGTATTTATTTCAAATCGTAATCTCCTGTAGCTTAAACTAATCGACACGTTTAGAACATCATGCCATTTTGTGTATATTAATTTGCGTTTTTTTGGCCTTTATGAAAACATGTTTTTAAAACGGTATTGCATTTTTAAACTTTTACGCTGTCGACAAAATAATGAACGTCCAGAAAAACACAGTCATCAAAAACAAATAAATTGGTCGTTGGAATTTTCACGGATAAGTGTTTATTGTTAATTTTAACATAAAAAAAGTTACCTTTCAATGATTTACTTTTAAAGATGAACATGATTATGATTCAGAAAACTATACTAATATTATAAGAGGAAAGATTTGTATATTTGTATAATATATATTCAATTCACGTAATAACTGCTGGGCCGATTTCAAAAATTCTTTCATCATTAGAAAGGTGAATTATCTGTGAGCAACATAGGCTATATTTTTATAATTTACGTCGGCGAAGTTGCGAGCAGCAGCTAGTTTGATAATATAGGCGATAGAGATTTTAACACATTCCTTTGGTGAAGGAAAACAATATGCAACCAGCATAAAATCAGCAACAAACAAACCGCACTGAGCCGGCGTGGTTAAAACCTCGTCACTCCTAACATACATATATGTAGGTTCGAGACTCTCCGTGGGAAGGGACCAATAGAACCAGACTATAAGGTTTCTGGTTGTGCATTGATGTGCTTTCTGGCAGCCATATATTTTCCATAATACAGATAGATGTTTATATTCATTCTTACTAATTATACAGATGAAATTCAAAGATCGCGTCACAAGTGAAGTGTGCATGCGCCTTGCTCGTTACCCGCACAGCTGGTGGCGTAACTTTAAGTAAATACTGTTCGCAGTTCGTTACGTCCAAATTGAATATAACAAGCGAATTCGTCTCCGATGCCCTCTATCCTCAAATCCAGAGGAATAGTCTTAAATGCATATAACTGTATTAAATGTATTAGAAATAGAAATTTTGCCACCGTCTCTACAACAATAATCTATTCTTACTATAGATTTAATTGTTTAGATTCCTTCTTCTATAAATAAATTAACCGTCTGTCGAGTTGGAATTCGTTCCTTCAAGTCGTGGTTTTATCAAGTGTATAAACAACACTTGGAAACTTAGCTTTCAACTGCGAAACAATTTACATATAATACAATTAAAACAAAACACGGTCAGTCAATCAGAAGAAAGTTTGTGAACGACGTCGGACGTACGCCTCTCCTCCAATGACTCTCTTGCACCGACACTGAAAGCATGTTATAGACTTGACGTGATTCCATTACGTTTATAAGCGAAGTTTCGAAAGACAGCTTTACGTATTACTTGATAAATGTCATTAAAACTTTATTAGGGTGTAGTGGCCCCTTTACGTCTTGTTTCAATCCAATAAATGTTTTAACAGTAGACAAACTGCACATTTTATATTGAAAATCATTAATTTAAAAATATTTTCGGTGAAATGATGTTTTTGGCAAAAGAATGTAACATTAGCTATCCCTGCCATACAATCACTACATTTCAAATTATAATTTTCATAAAATAATTAAAAAAATATATATGAATTAGCGTAATGTCCGTCATGTACAAATTTAACGTTCAACGAGATATGAAGTTGTTCTTTTCGACATTTTATCTATGTAAAATATGTAAAAGTTTTGTATTAAAATTATATGAAAGAAACTTCTAATATCTTATAACTTATTAAATCTATTTTATACATTCAATCCAACGACCGTGCTTTTCTCTTAATATGATGTAAACGAATTGGGTAACTTTTGTTCATGAAATTCAAATTGGAGCAGCTGTTTTCAGAGCGGGTTACGCTTACCTGATTAAAGTTTCGTCTGATTTATTTTCAACTGTTTTGTTAAGTTTGGCACATACAAAAAATGTTTATAACATATCTATTTGACAAATACGTTTTAATTATATAATTTTAAAAGTCCCCTGGGTTAATAATTTATACTAATGGCTATGTGAACATTTTACAACTATGAATTTAGCAGTTAGAATAACATCGTCTGACTCACTTTAACTAATTTTGTACTTAACAAATATAAGTATGTTAAGTAAATCAAGCAGATGTATACGTATTGTATGATACGTTTTATTATTAACCGCGAAGAAACAACTAGAAAAGCTGACAAATGGAAGTTAATGAAAATGCCACGAGCACTCCGCGCCTACTACCTATATTCTATTCATCGATTGTTCAATTCGTGCGAACTAAACTAGGTTACTAATTCAGAAGCATACAGATTTTTAGAAATCACCATTGTTTTATTTAATTAAAAACATAAAACATAATATGGATAAGCATTAGATTTTTTTACATTGTCACTTGTCATTATCTTTTTATTAAGGTCTAATGTAAAGTGTATGTAATTTGCGATGTTATAATTGTTGACTAATTATCGTGGAGTAAAACTATATTGTGGTCATCTTAGTTCTCACTTTTTTAATATATTGAATAGTGCCATCTAGGTGTATTCATCGATAAGAACTTGAGTCTCGTCTTTAATAAATATCGCTCCACAATAATAGATGGCGCTGAAGTTCTTTGTTTGAGTATGGATACGGAAAATTTTAACTACGTTTATTACTGAGAGAGGGAGGTAAACGAGTATTATTTGACGAGTTGACGACGAGAACGGAGTGATTGACGCAACAAATTCGTATTCGTAACCAATAGCATTTCAATCAATAAATTTCGAAAAATGAATAGTGAATACGTAGAAAATTGTGATGTTTCGGCTATATTTTTTGATTTAGACAATACATTAATACAAACAAGAAAAGGAGACAGCCGAGCATGCAATAAGGTTTGTATTTTCATTTTATCAAAATTGTGACATTGCCACGGTCATGGGGAAGTTAGAAATGATCCACGCTGCGCGCGCTGTCATCGCACGCTTCTACGTCGTTGATATCCTACACTGTACGTTTCTTTGCTGCTTGCAGTCCGTGTGTTATATGTTCACGTTCCAGTGTGTTATAAATAGGATTTTCGTAGTTGGAGAACGTGAGCTAGACGGCCTGATTTAGATATTTTGGAAGAGAACCCGTGCTAATTATAAACGTGATGTAGACAGTGTTCGCTCGATTCAACTGCTCCCGGCTCGTCTCAGTGGACCGCGATCTGTTGCGTTTTGTGATCGTTTCGTGAAATTTGTGACAATGGACGACATACCGGAATCAATCAAAAAATGCATCCTTATAATAAACATGGCAAAAAGCGACACAGAAAAATTTGCCGCACTCTTCATGGTAACAAAACTGGTGAAGGGCAAGGATTGCAATTCTCAAGCAAGGAAAGCTTTGTTCGAAGCTATTGGTTTTAAGTTCCTGAAGAAGCTATTAACAAGTAACAACGTCGTGGACGACTGCCCGCCGTCAGTGTACAAATCGCTTGCGCTTTCTATTCTCACCACCTTTTGTAATGAACCAGAACTTGCAACTCATCCGGAAATGCTTGCAAATATACCAGTATTCTTAGACATTGTACAGACTTCAGATAATGATGACTATGATGATAATCTCATTATAATAAGCGAAGCTTACACATGCCTACAATGCATCGCAGAAGAGGAGGCTGGACAAAAGGCATTAATAGAAGTTGGAGCTATTACCAAAATGTCAGAAATTTATTCACACCAAAGTTTCCAAACTGATGAAGCTCTTAACATTCTTGTAAAACTTGTTAGTCGGTATGGCCCCGCTGCTTGGGGAAATGATGCAAAACCGTTCCATGCACTGGTCAATAAAATAGCTCTTGATTTTGCTACTGATCAATCAGAGAGGAAGTTTGAATTGGCTACAATACTTAGTGCACTTCTGTACAGCTGCAACAAGTTTATAATTGTACCTGGTGCAGCAGATGAAACTTGGCCACAAAGTATATACAGAGCTCTATATGACATACTCACCAGTAAAATTGGTAAAAACCAAAGAGACCCTGCTCTCAAACTAGCTGCTAATATCATTGAACTACTTGGAGTGGAGTGGACCTTTTTGGATGAAGAGAATCCTAAAAAATTCTTCCTTTTACTTTTGCAGTTATGTGCAATTGAAGTTAGAATGCAGCTTGAGGACAGGAGTTTCAAACAAGCATATGCAAATGCAGAATTAGTAACATCTTGCTTTATTGTACTTGAGATATCCATCAACTACATGGCCACAGATCAGTTAGATTTAGAGCAAAAGGAGAAGCAATCAGTTTACACCAGCTTCAAAGGAGCGTTTAATGCTATTGTTTCAATCCTCACTAAGGTATCTAATGACAAGAACCGTGATAAACTTCCTGACAGTGAAAAAGTTTTTGTTTGTGCAATGGTCAGAGTTTTAGTTGCATGGATTGCACAAGAAACTACAGCAATGAGGGAGCAAATCTACTCACTGATGCCATTTATGTTTACACTGGCTAATGATTCTTTTCATGCATACAGAGCAAGGAAACTTGCAGAGAAAACTAAAACCGAAGGAGAGTCTATAGATTCAGACATAAGCCTGATGGGGCAAATAGATTTACTCCGTTTAATGCTTCCTGCTCTTTGTCATCTTGTGGTTGAGGATAAGGCAAGAGACATTGTATTCAACTTGAAACAAGAAGATATACTCTATGAAGCAATGAATTTCCATTGGTCTATTGTTCATTACAAGAAGCCACCAATTCCAAAATCTGAGCGAGGCAAAGCACGAACTCAGCCAGAACCAGAGTTGGATCCTAAGGTTTTAGATGACATGAGAGATTCAAGAGCTGCTATGGTCAGCCTCTGCAATATATTTATGAATCTGACAGTTTTAGCACCAAAAGCTGTTGAAAACAGTATGCTGTTTAACACCCTTCTAAAATTTGTCTTCAACAATTTGCCAGAATTGAAAAACATACCAGAAAACCTGGTGCTTCATGGACACTTGGCAGTATTAGGTCTTTTGCTATTAAAACAACAGAGCAACAAGGTGAAGAAGAATGACTTTTCAATTTGCAGATACATTCAATCAACTATTAGGTTTTTGTGGGATGCCTACAATGTTGACGAGTCAAATGACCCCAATGCACTTGTAGTATCATTGCAATACAAAGAACATTGGAATGAAATTGCAGATTTATGGTTTTTGGGAATGCAAACAATGAGCGGAGTAATTACTATTGTGCCATGGATATCTGAATTTGCAATAGAAAGTGGATGGGCTGAAGGTATCGCTGAGATGCTTGCAAAGGTCAAAGTTGGAACATTGCCACCAAATGTTAAATCAGCTTTTGAAGATTTCCTTTGCAGATTAGTGGATTCTAATGAGAGTGTGAAGCCCGTCCTAAAGAAAGGTGGAGCTCTTAAGATGTGCAGAAACCATCGGTTAATGGAATTAGGCAAAAAGCTTTTTGGAGACTAAATTAATTGGTCTTTAAGAATTTTTTTTACTTTGACAATTTAACAGTACTTAATTTTCAATGTTCTGATGTTTGCTTTAAATTTGTGATTGTTAATGTAAATATTGTAAGTAATTGTTGTTGCATCATGCTGCTGGTAGCATTCTATTGTAAACATTAACACTGATACAAATTAATAAAGGATTTGATAACTGTTCAATGCTTGTCAATTTTATCACTTACCTAATTTATCATTCAATTAAAAGGAATCCCTTGTTAATTTAGCAGCAAGCTGAAAATGAGTCCATCGTTCTCTTTGTCCATACTTTTTAGTTTTCGAACTACTCTATTTAAACCCTTGTTATCAAAAATATCTGCTAGAAGAAAAAAATCTTATATTTATTATACTTAACATAACAAATTTTGTGTGTTTGAGAGTTGAGATTAGAATATGTAAAATTATAACTGATCATAAACAAATTTATTTTCTTTGCAAAAATTGTTTAGAACTATATTTACAAACAAATTATTTCATGTTATACCTGCTGTCAATATCAGATTTCAGTTGAAATACTGCCAAAGAACAGGTGATTGCACGAAGAGTTAAGTCCATTGACCTCATGCTATTCCTGGCTTAGACTTCCTCGCATCTGCTGTGTAGACATTTATATTGCCACAATACTTGCTTCCGTGGTAAAAAAAAACAAGAATAGTGCTCAAAGATTAAGGATTAGTGTCACTGTTGTGATCCTATTTTCAATTTATCTATAGCTATACTTATTTTATGGCTACTTGTATTATTACCTTTTTTCTACATTTGCAAACTTTGTATGAAATGAGCACGCTAGATATCTATAATTTTTCCTCCTACCCTCCCCTTAGTCATATCATACATTTCTGTATGTCTTTGTGTAATTATTTTCATGTACATGATTAAGGAATGACATGAATTTATTTTCATCATTCAATTTGGCGAAGTTACTCTATTAGATGTTTTTGTTATGACTGACATAATTAGTAAGAAAGTGCTGTGTGGGCGAAATATTAGTATTTCTAATATGTCATAATTAGAAAGATACAGTAAGATAATTATGTCATCATAGAAGAAAATATCTATACATCAGTCTTGCAAGTACTAAATAATTTTTAAATTTAGTTGAAAGATCTATTTTGTGTAGGTAGACAAGATATTTAGACAGAGTATTTTTATGCAGACAGCAAACAATTATGACTCACTTGATATTTTTTGATTATTGGTATTATTTGGTACTAAAATATAATTCGACGACTCAATGTTTTTATTAAATACCTCTCATAACAATCTCACTATACATCCCCACTGAAGGGCTGTTAGCCTACCCTAATTAAGGGTACCTCTCATAGCTATTAAATATCCACAGTTAGTGGAGACATTACACCAGCAGTATGGGCTGCCTAAAGATATTGCGTCGGAGAGCGCTGCCACATTCCTGAGGACCTTCAGAGCCCAGCCCGACGATGAGGCATACGCGTTGGATGAGTGGCCAGCTCACTTGTGGCGCAATTCGCTGCCGAAGAACTACAGGCATATCGCTAGTGAGTATATCGTCCTAAAACTTAAATGTTTCTAATATCACATAAGTAAAATTCACGATACTTCATTTTTATTTTACGTGTTGTAATACCAATATAATATTTTCATTGAATATTATCGTCCTCTTCGTCTATCCTATATACTTATACTTATTTATATCTATACTAACATAAAAAAGCGTAAACGCACTATTTTGTGTCGTAGGATATCAGCAATCGCAGTATATTTTTAAATAATTATTTCTTTAATAAAAGGCCCTAAACGTAAGACACGTTATAGGCTATATGTTTTCACGCTATTAAACATAGAGGATAAATAAATTTGAAAAAACCTTTATGTGGGAAAAGGACCATAAACTATAAGCTGCCAACATTAAGGAAGCAAGTGTCAACAATGAAATAAATTTTTTATAATTTCATGCGGATGAAGCCGCACGGGAACAGCTAGTATTTTATAAAAATAAGGAAAAAATTATGATATTATACAAATGTTACGACAGTTGGAATTCACGGTTATGTGAGAAAAGTTGGTTACCGTAAATATTCTGGAATGTACCAAGTTACTCTCGCTATGAGATGTACCCATTGTTTACAAACTTCAGATCTTATATCTGTATAAACTATACGGTGTAAATTATTTTTTATCCCAATATACATAAGGTACATCTACAAACGAGCTAACAATATTAGTTTCAATACGCTATAGTGTCCTTCAAAACATACGAAGTATTGATTGAAAGCAAAACACCCTGCGAGAGTGGTACCGAATCTCGGATATTTGACGTCATACGATCATGTAACGCCTAGTATATCTAAAATAATATTTGCCAGAATGGGATTAAACTATTGCTTGTATACGGGTTATAAAATACATACTGTTAAAAATCCATAATCCATAAAATTAGTAAACTTCCTGTCGTAGGTTCAAGTAATAAATTTCAATACAAGGTAATAATATTAGTAAATTGAGGTAAAACTTTAAGATTAGTCAACGTAAATCCCTAATTCCATAACAACCTCGAGCGTAATTGTGGACAGAAACATTCGCTTTGTACTGTATGTAAAATCTGCGAAGTCATTAAAATGTGCATCGCGTGAATTCGCGTTCTCGGCAATGCGCCAACTTTGAAAGCAAAAATTACGCTTTTACAGCCAGTAAAATTATTGCGTTTTGTACTACGATTGCAAAACAAGCTTCTATTAGCTGATATTTCTTACATTTTGGACAGTTATTCCTCTGTGTATTCCTAATATACAATTTCTTATTATCAAATGATGGGCTGGAAGGGAACATAGATTCGTCTATTTGTAAGAAACGTTCTAAGTTGTTGCACATCAATAGTCAAGCGTTTCGTTTAACGAAATTAGGTGACTGGGTGCTCGTTTGCTATTTATTATAAAAAAAAATATATCTCTTTTTGTTCAAAATGAATGAGATAGATGACAATATCGTTGCTGTACAAGTGTTATAGCGATCACACATGCGATACTTCGCTTGAATCAACTCCGACATGTTTATCCTTACAATGGTTACTCTTGTTATAAATCATATGGCGTAAAACTATTTCCTGATATCCAGAGTAGTTATTACGCAGATATTTTCCGAATTACGAGGCCGTTAAAATTCTGCTGTTGAAATGTTTTCTACTTTGTTAGATATTTCCACAAATGACTTCCTTTAAAATATAGATAGACGGCGATATTAACAATACTTGTAAATTATTTTAAAACAAGCAGACTGAACTCCAATGTGACAACGTAAAGATATCGAACATTCCGTGGTGACAACTAGGAAAACACTGAGCTTGTTGGCGACTGAGTGCCGAGACTGCAACTGAGCCCGAGACACTCCATATATTTTATAGAAATACATCAAAAATAGTTAAAAAGCCAACAATTTACACTAATTACAGTTTATAATCTATCGGATTTTTCATCCATATTGAATAAATAAATAAAAATAAAAAATAAAAATAAGATAAAAAAGCCTTTTATTCCATGCCATGGTTTACAAAAGTTTACAAAAAATTAAATGGTACATGTCTAATTATTGTCATTTATAGATTATTACATACATATATATTAGATTAGAAAAAGTAATTCGGTCATATAATGTTAAACCTTTTTCAATAAATAATCAAAAATGTCCTAAATACTATTTTTTTTTCTATAAATCATTAATCTAAATTATATTCAATTTTTTTTTTAAATCTAGATGTCATATCTTTTGCATGGACCCCTCTCAGGTGAAGGCCTCCTCCATATTGAATAACGAAATACAAACCAACTATCTAATCAGTACAGAACACGGAAACAAGACGATTGTATTCCAAGTTAATTCTACGCAAATAAACGTGATTGTTTAATGAAACGTATATACATTATACAACTTGTTTTACGTCATATTTGCTTCCATCCGTAACATAATAATAATAAAAAAACTATCAAGTTAAAGTTCAGTATCGTTTTACGAATTACATCATTATGATAGTGGATGTTGTTATCAAAAAAAATGTTTTGAGAATTCAGTTATTGAACTGTAGGTCCCGAACTGAATCCTATCAAATAATTTGAGTGATGAAAATTTCAAGCTATCATGTAGATACCTGTCCAAGGGCGATAAGACCCTAATAATATTTTTGTTAATGTCTAAAATCTGTCATAAGCGACTGTTCGATTGGCGCAAAAGCTTATACGACTGATTTTAATTTATTTAGGATTAAATTTACCTCCCACACTTTCTAAGACGCAAATAACATTGCTCCGACTGCCAGATTGATAAAGGTGACTGAAAAAAAATGTATAATTTTATTTTTCTCGGAACTATAACACGTTTTCGGCCAATGTTATAAATATTTATGACCGTTTTCCCTTGAAGTATTTTGTAAAGGACAGTTGTATCTAAAATAACAAGGTTTTAAAACAACATTAAATTTTATTGGTTAGAGTAAATTTTTAATGAACTAGCTTGAAGACCCAAGATTAACTAATTCGATTACAAAGTTCATTACGATAAGACTTTTATATACTAATGTACCTAATATAATCTGTGTGCAATTTTACATACATTATTTTTTTTTTGTTACAGAAAAAGTATCAGAGGAATGGTTAAAATTAAGATTTCAATATTTAGCTTTGACGCCCGAAGTTATACATCTATTAGAAACATTAAGGTAAGTGTGGTATTTTTTATGTTTTTACATTAATGTAATGCAGAAATATTTGATGTTGTATTATTTTTGGGTATCATTAAAATATTTCTTCATACTTTTCTATACTTCCGGCAATTTCTTTGTGCGTCTATTCTATTCTATCTATATGTTAATTTTAGCTTGATCTTGTCCAAAGACATTGCCTCTATCATTACATTCGTTCTGAGATTATAGAATTTCCAATGCATTTCATTTTTATGTGTTGACAATTTATCATCTGAGAACCTTATTTTTGTACATGTCACAAAGCAGCGGGTCAATTTTGACAACCAAAAAAATCAGTGCAACATTTAATAGTAAACTTAAATAGTTTCTGTAACGATTTTTGTGGCAAAATGTATATAATTAAATTGCCTAGTTATTAATTTAGTTTTATCGTTATATGCTCTAACAGTTGTCAAATTACGCTTGTTGCTTTGTGACAACCTTACCACAACATGCATGGTGTTATGTGGTGATTTTTCTGGAAGTCAAATGTGCAATTTTTGATTTTTCATCACATTCGAAATTAATACAAAGCCATTGGCCATCATTGGTTTATTTGTCGACAGTCATCAAGTCAATCTGCATGCCACATAATGCTGTGTTGTCAGTGCACTAGGCATTGATATTGATGTACCATGAGGAAGTCAACACCAATACGTTGTGAAAGCATATGTCAGCTTAGATTTTTTTAGGAATAAATATCTTTACGAATGCATCAACAACATGTTTGGTTTGACTTTAATCGCATGTTGCTAATAAATGACTTGTTTTTCAACAGTTCAGTTGTTGCTCAAGGAGTGACTAAACTTGGGGCGCCGCGTGCGCAACACTTAGGTATTGAATTGTATTTGTAAAATATGTGAGGAAGCACCATGGAGAAGGTAACGAATGCCTCAAAAATTTCACTATAATTATGGAGATAATTTATACCTTATTCTAAAGACGATATTATCATGACAGTTTAGTTGAAACTACTATGCTAATATTCAAATAACGGTTATAATAAAATATCTCCACGGTTATAAAAACGTTTTAAGCTAAGTCGAGTGTTGCGTTGACGGTTATTACTAAAAATTTAACGCTTTAATTGGGTACAGTCAACACGACACAAGTATATTTAAGATATCAGCATATGATTTCTATATGCCTTAACCTATTATAGTGAAAGTGTTCTTGCACGTTGTACATTTAATGTGCAAGGTCATTCGCTTCTCGTTGTATAATGTGCTGAGTTTCAGCATGGTCTCTGCCATGGAATAACAAAAGGCTGGTCGATGAATGTGGCACAGGGAGGATTACCTACTCGGTCTGATCACGAACGGGCCGTCGCGAGCCCAGTGGCAGAAGATCGATCGGCTAAAACTGAGGGACTACTTCGACTGCGTCCTGGTCTCCGGAGACCTGCCCTGGGAGAAGCCCGATCAGAACATCTTTCTAGAAGCTTGCAAGCTGCTCAACGTCGAGGCCCGCACTTGCATCATGGTTGGGGATAAACTAGAAACAGATATTAAGGTAAAAATATATATGTAATAAATCTATTTAATAACCTAAATGTCGTTAAAAAAAGTACTTACGTTTACAGTAACACTATATTTATGTTATTTTATTTATCTGTTTTTGTTTATTTTTTTAGGGTGGTAAAGAAGCCGAGTTAGGTGGCACCGTGTGGATACCGCTGCAGCAGGATGAAATGGAGTCAGATCTACCCGATTTTACCATAAACAAGGTCACCGAACTACCAGAAGTGTTGCCAGCTTCACCCAGATTGAAGCGTTTCGTTCACGTCGCTAGCGAATGTTGATACCAAAGATTTAGAAGGGTTTATGGTCTTAGTTTTTTTTTTCAATTATTATTCCTAATTTAGATGAGTTTTACAATACGAGTATACTCACACCGAGCGTATTTTTAATAAGGACTTTATGTATACATACATAAAAAAATTGACGTGGTTGGTAAAATGGATGATTTTAAATAATTTTCATTTCCTAACAAAAAATCGTAGTGAAGTAATATGGTTGTAAACAGAAGTGCTTAGTATGGGTGTACTTGTATAGTATCCAAGTGTTAGGATAGAGGTTTTTAAATGGTTTTATAATTAACCAAACACAGAGAGAATGTATTTTTTGTTATTTTTTACTATAATGACTTTAATTCCCAATTAGTGTTCATGCCATCGAAACTATTTTTGTTAATTTTTTTTTATTTTATTAGCTGTTGACATTAACAGTTACCAAGTATGGTATTTTTTTAATAATGATATATACTAGTTTTGGAAACTGGTATAATGTTTGAAAGAAAACGGTAGCAATTGCTATCTTTGTCTTCCCTTGTAGTTTTAAATGGGTGATAGCTTTTTTAATTTGCTTTTTTAAGTCATGATCTATATTTTCAGTTATTTAGAACAAATAGTCTCTAGTTATATTATTTTGTTCAACATTTAAGTACATTTCTCTTATATAAAAGTCTAGCAGCGTTGCAAATAAACGCGGTATAAATTTAAACTTAGGAATAAACTGAGTATAAGCAAAACTTGTACTAATATTTGCTTATACTCAGTTTATTCCTAAGTTTAACTTTATACTGCGTTTATTTGTAAGGCTGTAGAACTACATTCAAGGGCGGAGCCAGCTTTGGCGCCAGGGGGGGTTACATAGTCGTGGTCAAGTCAAGAGCTTGAAAAAATATCTAAATATATTTTGTCAAGACCAACCAGGTCAGGGGCGGTCATGACCCTCAAGACACCCC